GGTGTGTCGCACTTGCCGTGAATCGGCATAACTTTAATGTTCCTTTCCTCTGTACGGTGGAGAAACTTATTGAGCTAGAGAAGGCCATGGCTTATGCCTGTGTGCTGTGGACTATATAGCCATAGTGGGCGACCTGTAGCAACACACTCGCCGCTATGGGACAGAGGCTGGGAAGGGGGCGATCGGGAGAGAAAAATTTAAGCTACCTTGTTCATTTGCTGAGAATTGTGTAACGACTGCTGCATGGGTGTAGGAGAAGAATGCAACATTCGCTGCGCATGTGGAAGACCCAGTGAATTGGCGAAGAGAAGCAAGTTTGGCAGTATTCGAGGACTACTGATCCAGGAGAAAGGTTACAATAGGAATGTATGATGGACGGCGAAGTCGAAGCCGATGGAATGCTATACCGTACGCCTCTAGCGCAAGCAACTATTTGCTACCGCAAAGCCGGTCTATGGACTGAACTTGGTGGCTCTGATGACGCTGATCGATGGTATCGCATGTACTACCTGTACATGGACTGCAGACCTAATGCAGATCAGACGTAAACACTCTGACTAACGCTTCAAACACGGTTTAGAGATGGTCGTAGTTATTAATAGTTCACCTTTTGTCTTCTTTTCATCGATGTTATCATAATATCTTTCGTAGAGTTCGTTTGAACTAATGGGTATAAAAAAGACTCCTTTTATGCCGGGGCTCCGTCGTCTTGCTTTTTGGCGGTGCTGCTTCTGCATCTGCAAGGTGCCGTTCAGGCTGCATGCGAATCGATTGTTAGACGCAAAATTACTATCCGAAGCCAATTTCTGTCGTGCACGACGTGTGTCACTGGTATAATGCAATCTACCATTCGACGGGATCATACCAGAAGTATTGAAACACGGTGGACCCGCGTTGTTGACTGCGCTGCACCACTTGGTGCAACGCGTGTGGATTGAGGAGGAGGTGCCTGCTGAGCTGAAGGATGCCCTTGTGCTACCACTGTACAAGGGCAAAGGTAGCAAGCAATGTTGCACGAATTATCGTGGCATCAACTTGCTGAGTTGTGTGGGCAAGGTGATTGCCCGAATCCTGCTCAATCGCCTCGTGAGTCAGATTGTGGAACCAAACGTGGCGGAAGAGCAATGTGGATTCCGTTCGGGTCGCAGCACTATAGATATGGTGTTTGCGGCTCGTCAGTTGCAAGAGAAGTGCAGAGAACGACACCAGCCTTTGTACTCGCTTTTTGTTGATTTCACCAAGGCATTTGATACGGTGAACTGCGAGGCATTGTGGCTGGTGTTGGGTAAGTTCGGTTGCCCGCGTAAGTTTGTAAGTTTAATTGAATGTCCGCACAGTGGTATGCGAGCGAGGGTGCAGCTGAGTGGAGAGACCTCTGATGACTTTACAGTTGTCTCTGGTGTGAAGCAAGGCTGTGTCTTAGCTCCTGCCCTGTTTAATATCTATCTTCATGCAATGTTGTCTTGCGCTTTTGATGCGGCTTGTGCTTACGGTGTTCGTGTGGAGCACCGTATTGATGGTGGGTTGCTGAACATCCGTCGTTTCGGTGCGAGAACTCTAGTCTGTGAGACAACCATCCGTATGTTGCTGTTTGCTGACGACTGTGCGTTGTTTTCACACAACGCGGATGAGTTGCAGCACATGACTAGTGCTCTGGCTTCGACAGCGGCCAAATCCGGACTAACCATCATTACAAGCAAAACTGTCTGTCTCTTTCAGCCTTCACCGGAGGTGCAATCTTTAATATTGCCGCAAATCAGCATTGGTGCTGAAGTATTGGAAACCACCTCCCGCTTCTGCTACCTTGGGAGTGTGATGTCGACTGATCAGCAGCTACACAGTGAGCTTGGTATCCGCGTGTCGAAAGCAGCGGAGGTATTCGGCAAGAAAGAGTACCGAGTGTGGAACAACCAGCAGCTTACCAATGGCACGAAGCTGATGGTGTACAAATCCATGGTACTGTCCGTTCTTCTATACGGCAGTGAAACGTGGACGATGTACCGGCGTGATGTGCGATATCTCGAGCGGTTCCATCAGCAGTGTCTGCGACGAATTCTGCGGATCGGCTGGGGCGCCAGAGTTGCAGACACGGAAGTGTTGCGCCGAAGTGGGATGTATGCAGTGGACTGCATACTTTTATTGAGACACCTGAGATGGCTCGGTCATGTGAGCCGTATGGATTCGACGCGGATACCGAAACAACTCTTATACGGTCAGCTGAGTATTGGGAAGCGGCACGTGGGGAAACCAAAGTTACGTTACCAGGACATGATTAAAGTGAGCCTCACGCGTTCTCATCTTGATTGCAGATCATGGGAATCGAAGGCGGTTGATCGGCGTGCGTGGCGCGATCTAATCACGAAGGCAGTTGCTGAGGTGCGGGAGAAATCCCTCATGCATGCAGAGAAGAAGCGGCAGTTGCGGAAGCGGCAAGCACCGATGAATTGTACTCCATCGACATCGAGCGCATTGTGCTGTAGAACATGCGGTCGCGAGTGCCTTAGTCAGGCAGGCCTAGTGAGCCATGAGAGAGGTCACTCGGGACCACTGCCGAAGCGACGACGGGTCCCGCAGTGAACGTAGGCAGCACCGGCGCAGCGTTTGTAGGCACGCTGAATTCGATTTACTAACCGCATGGTTGCATGCCAAGTCTCTTTATTTCAGGTGGTGGGTTTTCGGTTCTCTCTTAATTCCTTTCTTTCTCATATAAATGTCTAGTGGGCCATGAGCTAGGTCCTTTGGGGCCACTACAGAAGCGACGACGGGTCCTGCAGAGAATTACGACGAGCCGGCGCAGCGTTTGTAGGCACGCTGAATTCGATTTACTAACCGCGTGCTTGCATGCTAAGTCTCTTTATTTCAGGTGGTGGGTTTACAGATTTTACCTTACTGCTTTTCTTTCTCATATAAATATCTCCCTGTACTCTATTCCATTAACTTGCACACATCGCTTCAGCCAATTGTATTCGATTTCCATAACATTTTTGTGTTCGTGGCATACCGTGAACTATACTTCCTGACCTCGTGCACTTAGCTAGGATTTGTTTGTAAACAACTTATTACGTATGCTATTTAATTAAGGTTTATGTCACCGTTTCCTTATGCATTAATCGAGTTTTTCTCTTTTTCTTTCTCTCTCTCAAGTGATTGGCTGTTGTTTGATATCCCCGGTGTGGCTGCGCTTGATGTGCATGTTGACAAGGTGCCTACCTGTCTATTACCCACTACCTCGTCCAAACTGGCTCCAGGAGACAGTTGGTCGTTGCTGGAGGGGACGGGGTGCACGGTCCTTGTGGCCGTGTTAGGCTCGAAGAGTGGTTCCATGCACTCAGTGTGGAGCGGACTACGGTCCAGCCACCGCCTTGTGTGCGCTTGATTCCCCAAATACAGTGTACTTGTGTTTGCCTGTGAAGGAGTGTGGGCCGGCTCCGTTGATGAAACGTGGCTCCCATCCGCATGCCTCCCGGTCTTATTCCTTCGGGTTTACACTGGATATGGGGTGTGTGGTTGGAGCTGTGGGTGGTGCAGCGCAAGCCATCCATGGTCCCTCTGTAGGCGCAGGCGTCCTGTGGCTTGCCACAGTGAGAGGCAAATCCGAAACCGGATGCCGCCAACCATATATATATATATATATATATATATATATATATATATATATATATATATATATATATATATATATATATATATATAGATTGGAGGGTGCCCCATGCTGAGGCTGACGTTGCATTCTTGATGCTTCTCCACTGCAGTTGGGCTAAACCAACTTACACTTAAACTAGGTCTTTTTAAGCTACATATATTCCAATCCACTTTATTTGGTTTGTTCTGCCGACCTGAATAATTTATTAACTGGCCACGTTGCCTACATTAATTGCGCTTATCTTCGGCAACTTTGTTGCGTTTGTAACATTTTTAACACTTGTGGAGATTTCTTACTTATCGCAGATCCGGTGCTAACCAACTTACTTCGTACGGTAATTTAGCGAATAGTTATGCCACCGTACCTATATGCATTATTGGATTTATTTTAATTCCTTTCCTTTTCAAGTGAATGGCTGCTGCATGATATCCCCGGTGTAGTTGCGCTTGATGTGCAGGTTAACAAGGTGCCTACCTGTCTAGTATCCACTATCTCGTTCATACTGGCTCCAGGAGACAGTCAGTAGTTGCTGGAGGTGACGTGGTGCACCGTCCTTGTGGCCATGTTAGGCTCGAAGGGTGGTTCCATGCACTCTGTGTGGAGCGGACTACGCTCCAGCCACCGCCTTGTGTGTGCTTGATTCCCCAAATACAGTGTGCTGTG